ATATATTTAGTACATACACAAAGGATTTACACAGATACAGAGGGAAGGATCAGGCAGAGCAAACTTACCACACTTGTTGGGGCACAATCCTGAGGGAGAGACAAACAAATGGTCTGTAACTAATGCATCTTGTACATGACAATGACTTACACAAAGTGCCCTGCCTCATACTGTGCAGGGCACTCACTGCTATTCAAGTCAATTACCATCATGGATGAATGTGTCCAAGTGTTTTTCTAAGATCTTTCTGCCCTTCTCCAGGATCTGAATGGCTTCAAATGTCACAGATCCTTTAAAATAAGAGGAGGATTTGTCTTAACATCTGGTGGACATTAAGTGTGTTGTGATCACAGTATCATACCTAAATATATTCAGTGATGATGTGGGAGAATTTTGTTTCTCACCAGTGTGCGGGGTTTTCAAGAAGCGGTCAAATTCACTCTGGTACTCAGTTCTGGCTCTGTACAGAGTGGTGGGATCTAATCGGTGGGAAACAGACAGTAATGTTTTACTGGTTTTAATACTCTACAGTTTAGGCAGGTCACTCATACTTTTATTCAGAACAAGTGAGGGCCATAGCAGTAAAAGCTGCAATGGCTAGAACAGGAAGAACTGACAATATATGGGAAAAATGTAAGGAAACTAAGAGACAAGATGTGAGATATTAAGTGCTTAAGGTTATTATCAGCATTGTCCCTTGAGATGGAAAGACAACACGCCAGTTACAGTTTAAATAGGAATAAAACACAACGGACAGGACATACAATTATCAAACACACAAGGAAGAGACTACAGTAAGCTCAAATTAGGCAGCTGCATTTCTCAGATACACTGAATTTTAACATGGTTTTAAATATTTCTAAGTGGACAAGATTTCAGAAATGTATAATGCTCTGCAGATTATTAAAACAAGATGCCATAGTAGAAGAATTTTTCCCCCAGCTCAGTCTAGATCAATGAAATCTGCGAAGACAGCCACATTGTTTAGTGGCAGAACAGTTTTTGATCTCACCAATGACTCCCTTTCGTTCCAGACTGGTCTCTCTGTAGGTCACATAGGCATGCTCAGAAATCTTTTTCATTTCAATCTGGTCGTCCACAGTGGGAGCAGACAGGACAAAGTCCTCATGTAGGCGCCTGATACTGCGGTCACACTGCAGACAGGCCTCGGCCGCATGGACACAGCAGAGAAGGGACACCAGTATCAGCAGCATCTGCCCTCTGCACCCTGAGCTTTGTGCACATCAGAATGAGTCACTTTGGCGCCTCTGATTTTTCACTCAGTGCAGGATCTGAAACAGAGTTGGCAGATATTTTTATTACTCCCACAGCTGCTGTCACGAGTAACAGTTTTACTCCAATCACTCCTATTGTTCATCAAGACAAAATTACCATTGCTAGATTACTTGTTAAGTAGGGAAGAAAAATTGCTGTTGGCTCCATGTGGACCTCATGAGTTAAGTCTGCAGTATATATCAGTGTATTTGGTCATGGTTGTTTCATTAAAACAAATTTATTAGGGAACATTTTTACACAGTACTGATTAATCTGCCAGGACGGCACAGTGGGTAGCATGTCGCCTCACAGTGTGCGGAATTCGCATGTTCTCCCCATGTCAGCGTGGGTTTTCTCCGGGTGCTCCCACAGTCCAAACACATGCAGGTTAATTGGTGACTGACTCTAAATTGCCCATAGGTGTGAATGTGAGTGTGAATGGTTGTCTGTCTCTATGTGTCAGCCCTGTGATAGTCTGGTGACCTGTCCAGGGTGTACCCCGCCTCTCGCCTAATGTCAGCTGGGATAAGCTCCAGCACCCCTGCGATTAATCTGCCATTAATTCCTTTGATTGATCAATTAATCGCCAAAGAAGATAATGAGATATGCCAATCACAATTTCCCAAAGCCCAAGGTAACATCCTAAAAATACTGGTTCTGTCCGATTAACAGTTGAAAACCCGAAGTTTACTATCACATCAGTAAGTAGTAAATATTTGTCATTTTGGCTAAAATAAATAAAAATTCTGCCAATTATCTAGCATTAATCAGTCATGTGCCTAATTGTTTTAGCTCTAAAACAATTGCAGTATTTACTCCGTGCAATATTTATCTATTCCCCAACACTATTTAAATTATTCTTACATTGTTTTATATTTTAATACTAAACACCAAGTGTGTATTACATCCAATGTGCAATTATCCTGTACAGCTGTCAATATATACCCATACATCTATTAATATATATATATTAGAGTTTCCATATGTGCATTAGTGAAAGTTGTATATAGTGTAAATAGTACTGAGTGTATAGTTGTGCCATTCAACAGCTCTTATCTTATCTAACCGTTTTGGCACGAAATTAACAAGAACAATTTGGCTATTAAACATATATTTTGACACATGGCCCCTCTGAAAGGCCAAAAGATTAGGCAATGAAACTGTACTGTAGAGCTACAAAACCCCAAACAACACTACAGTCATTAAATTAGCAAAACCACCTGACACTGGGTGCACCTGGGACATCAAGGGCCCACTTTTCCCAGTTGGTAACCCAGCTTTGGCTGCCTTTTTGACTTCTCTTGCTTTTGCCACTGATATATACATACATTTATTTACAGTACTTAGATTAACTGCTTTAAACACTGCTGTTGCTTCTGCTACAGCTAACTTACTACAGATGCTAGCACACTGTCACTAATGCTAATTGCTATAGCTGACGCTAGGTTAGCTTAATTCAGCCGTTGGTGCCAACACCACTAATGTTGCTAATTACAATAACAGTAATAAAGCGAACTACATGCTAAATTACTCGACGTTTTTCTACTGTTGCTAGCATCGTTGACACTACTAGCCAACTGATATTTAATGAAACAACAATAACTAATAAGAATATATTCATTGCCAAAGACGATAAACAAGGATACAACAGAGCCTGTACTTGTTTAACAGTGCTCTGACATGGTGTCATTCAGCTCCCCTGACTATAGCTTGTTGCTGTCACCTAGTGGTATAAAGTAAGTTACAGTCAGTCACAACAACATCATTATTTGCTCTGAGTGATCTCACTTCTGTAGTTTGTTCAGGACAGTTGTGCAATCTTGCTCCTGTGCCAGCTGACTAGGCACCAAGTCCAGGTCGGCCAGATTCTGCTGATATGGCGAACTGTTGACTGTTAACAGACTGTTCACCCTCCAAAGTTGTCACGTTCAATGACATGTAGTCACAGTTTTTAGCAGGTTTATATAATCCGTATAAATACAATTAGAGTTATATTTTTTATGATAAAATCCCCTAAAATATGAAATACTTAAACGTGCGTATTTGACATTTCAATTGTTTCCATTGGCAATGGTAGCATGTAAGATAAAAAACACACAGACGATAATTTAAAATCATAAATATTTATCAAATCTCTGTCCTGTGGATTTCACAATTCAAATCACTCAAAGGAAACAAACTTGAAAGCTCTTCTTGATTATATTGTCTGTTTATTCATCGAATTATATTTTTACACTACATTTCCCAGAAGTCCTTTAAGTAATGACGTAATGATCGACACAGAAATGGACCAATCGTGCGTTGACGGGCGGGATCATGGAACTTCGAACCGCTCTGCAGCTGCGCAGTGAGCTACTGCGCGCACAGCTGTACACATTGACCCCAGAGCGTCAGATGCGGAGGTAAGATAACTCTGTTTTTGTGGCCGAAACGCTTTAAACGACCGTTTTGATATATATTCTAACTTATTTGTGTGTTATTTACGTAGACAACGTCGACTTCAACTATGATCATGACTGTTTTTAAGCCCAGTTCGTGACAACCGGTACAACCAGTCAAAGTATTGTGCTGCTACTGTCATGTCCCCATGCAGCGTCAATAGTGGTGTCGACAAGTGCTTGTTGGTTATCGATCAGGCACTGGCACACTGGAAAAGTTTAGCGAGTTAGTTATGTCATCTTGATACCTTGTGGAAAACAACCTGAATATGCGCATCTGGAGGCGCTGTGCGTGACCATTATTTCAGCAAAGTCGGACGACAGTGTCTTTACTGTAATATTTTAATTATTCAACCGTATTTTGTATTTAGTGAACACAAAATAAATAGCAGTCACAAGGGAGTGAAAACATCCTAATGAAAACATGCACAGCCAACATAGTACAGTCTATTTTACTGCACTGAGCAGACTAGTTATTTACCTCTGTACATCAAAACAGTGAGCATTGTGTATTGCATACATTTGCAGGCAAAAAGAAAATATTACTAGTCACAGGGAGGAGGTTTATGTCACAAACTACCCCTAACATCTACATAAAATGATACTGTATGCATTATAAAGTGGTTAAGGTTCCTGGTAGTTTCCTTACAAAGCAGTGAGTGCTCATATTTTTATTTATTTCTTTATTTTATTTTATATACTTTATTAATCCACAAGGGGAAATTCAATTTTTCACTCTGTTGTCAATTACACACAGGTCCGAACACACACATGCACAAACTGGACCTAAACATACACTAAGTGGAGAGATGTCAGAGTGGGCTGCCCATGACAGGCGCTCTGAGCAGTTGGGGGGATCGGTGCCTTGCTCAGGGGCACCTCGGCAGCGCCCAGGAGGTGAACTGGCACCTCTCCAGCTACCAGTCCACGCTCCATATTTTGGTGCGGATGGGGACTTGAACTGGCGACCCTCCGGTTCCCAACCCAAGTCCCTATGGACTGAGCTACTGCCGCCATATTTGGGACTTGAAAGTCAAAGACTCTCCCAACACAGTGTGTCATGGAATTGCTTTGGGCCATCAAGGCAATTGATTTTTTCAAAAAAAAGAGCGGGGATATCTTGTGCATATGGGAGGGAACTGTAAAGCTAGAACGAAGCGTTAACTTATAGCAGCTAGTGCAAAATACATGAATAATCAAAAATAATTATATGAACAAGAGGCTGCTTTTTGTCTGTAATTGTACACCCAGAGAAGGTAAGTTGTTATTCTAACAAGAGGCTTGTGTATGCTGTTTTAAAAAGGAGCTGCAGTCTGTCCCTGAAGGAATTTTTTGCTGTGTATGCATTTGCAAAGTTTCCCTTCCTCCCTGCTGCATTGCCACTATCACACACACTTCATTGGTATGAATAAGAAGGCTGAGCTGGAGCATAATGATACCTGTTGGGAGGTTAAATACGGTTGTGTTGTGGATGATTGATGCAAAAACTGAAGGCTTGCTGCAGTGCAGTTATTTGAGGGCTGCTAGTCTTAAATAATATTTACGCTTGCGCAAGGTGCTCTTACCTGAGAGATAAATGTAATTGAACCACGCTGACTCGGTGTCTGTGCTTTCTCTGATCATAGCCTGTTTTTATGGTGTCATTGGTTCGGTTACCATCAGTGCCTGTGTGGCTACAGAGCCAATCCACCTACCATTTACCAGATTAAAGCTTCTGTGCTGTCTCTCTCTCTGCTGGACACTGCTGCTGCTGAACTATGCTGCAGGAGACACTTAACAGAAAGTGTACACAGCACAGTAACATGCAGCTTTATTAGAGAGACACACACAGAATACATTAGTGTGGTAGTGGCACACATTGCAGCACTATAGAGAAATTTAATAACAGACATGTCATACAAAATTAACACTCTCTTACAGAATCATTGTACAGTACATTGTTTTTAGAGAGAGGTAGGAAACAGAAGGTGAGTGCTAAATGTTTTAGTCATGAGAGCATGGAGTGTGGAGAGCTCCAAAGCTATTTATAACTACAGCTCCTGGAGTGGTAATAATTAGAACTGGATTGTCAAGCAAACACCCTGTGTGATGGGGGTTACAAGACTCTGGATTTGTATGTGCCATGCTGCTTATTTGAAAATTAAAGGAACAGCATGTGGGATTATGGGGATATATCGGCAGATATGGAATATAATAAAGTAAGTATACTTCCTTAAAAACAAGGTTTGTTGTGTTTTTGTTACCTTAGAATGAGCTATTCTGTATCTGCACAAGGAGCAGGTCCTCGTCTACTGAGATCACCATGTTGCACCGCCATGTTTCTACAGTTGCCCAGAATTGTAGAAACTGTTGAATATTTTTTTGGCGCACGCCATCGTTGGCTCTTGTACATACGTACATTTTTAGTATGGATCCTACACATTATTTTATAAATGAGGCCCCTGGTCAGCTTGTGTTTGAGAGGAAGAGACCTCTATGGATAATTCAGCCACCAGTAAAAACATCCTGAACAATGAACACTGAAGAAATTGTAACCGGGAGAAGCTTTAGCTGGTTGCAATCTGCAGTCCTCACTGGTAGATGTCAATAAATCACCCCAAAGCTTACTCATTGTTCCTTTAACTCGTCTGTCTGTCAGTATATCATGTTGTTACTTAATATATTCACAGTCTATTTATGTATTCTTCCATCCTTAGTGGACATTCAGGCCGATCAGTGTACGACATGATGTGTGTTGATGTGGTGTTGCACACTGGGCTATACTTGAACTGAATGTTGATCCCTGTCTGTGTCTGTTTGTCTTGCAGGTTTGGACAGATCAACTCTGATTCAGTCATGGAGACTTTGGTGAAGATTGGCAGGTAGACATCAGGCTCCCCTTCACCTCAATGATATATTCTGACATTGTCACAGACACCGACAGCAAGTAAACTGCAGCTGTCCCCTCCTGCAGCCAAACCTGTTTCACCTGCATACCTCACTGCCTTAAGTTCTCAGTATGTATCAGATCGTCCCGGTGGCTCCAGGGGAGCAGCAGATGGCGGGGGGAGCTGGTGGTTCTCCACTGAAGAAGAAGCTGGCTCATGAAGGCCGGCCCCTGGTGATGGCGGGCATGTTAGGCTGTGTGCTGGTGCTGGCTGCGGTGGTTGCCTGGTGCTACTACTCAGCGTCGCTCCGTAAAGCCGAACTGCTGAAGGCCGAACTGTTGGACCTCAACAAGGATGGTTTTATCATTCATAACCAGGCGGGGGCGCTCATCTTCAGTATGACCTTCAGGTGCATTCACTGTCTGGATTATTTTCTTGCTTATTATTGTCTTGATTCATCTTTTAATCTTTAAAATGTCAAAGACAAATGATGACAAATATCCACCATCCACCCATCTCAATTTTAATAGATCAAGGTGACATATTCAGATCAACAGTCCATAGGCTAAAGATACTTAGTTTAAAATAAAATGAACTGCATGAAAGAGCAGAAAATACGTAGATTTAAGAAGCTGGTAGCAGAGAATCTTTGGAAGTTTCTGCTGGGAAAGTGACTTGTTAGTTAATCGATCATCAAAATAACTGACATAAGACAACTAATTTTCTGTCAATCAAAAAATTAAGTCAGCTTTGCAATTAAGTAAGGGAGATGTCATATGTAATGTACGTGGTAAAGGTTGGGTACTGAACTCGGCACTCTCAAGGATACCAACTGAGTTATGTCAGCACTACCAAGACTTACGTTAAATCAATGGGTACCAAATCCTAGTACCTGAGATCTGGGTGAGAACGCTCCGGCTGGCTCACAATCTGCAGCAATAGTTTCGGTGTTTGGCCTATTTTCTTTTTTATTTTATAGTTTTCTGATGATATTTTACTATGTTTACTATATTTTAACTATGTACGTATTCCACATATTTGTCAGTTGTGTCTAAATTGAGAGTGCATGAGGAGAACAGGCACACAAACACACTGCTCATTTTAACAATTTATTAATGTCCACATAAAAATAACAAGGAGGTACAAGGACACAAATGTCAAAGGTGCTCTAGAATACACTTGCAAAGTCATGCACATTGACATGTGTCTTCAAAACAGAAAGCATAGTACTCAGTTGTCAAAGATACGAGTTGCAGCGTGTCTGCCAAAATGCCGGCTGCCAATGATAGCAGAAACAGCACAGTACTTTATGGGCTGTTTACTGTTCAGTCCTGTTTTTGGGAATCTCAAGTTGCTGAAGCTCTCTTGAGACCAACCTGCAAATGTGTCCAAGGCTGCCAAGTATGAAAACAAGGAGGCTGCACCTATGACCTAGGTCTGAGACGGTATTAAAGAGTGGTCAGTGTTTAATGCTGTGGTCATAATGGTCTCCTCTAGGTAAGAGTCAGAGGTACCTACGTAGGCCACCTCTGAAACAAACATCTTTATGGACTCTTCATTGACCACTACATCTTGGCATCTCTGGGCACATCTGGGCAT